CACCTGGGATTGCCGCTGGAAGGACGGTGGGGTGGGGTGGGGCTGTTGGGGATCCCTTAAAACCTTGAACCATAAGGCTTTGGCCCCATGTCCTGTCTAGAACGCCTGCAGCCATTTTCCCTTAATAAAGATGCCTGTTGGAAGAAATATTCCAAGAGTTCTGTCTTCTTAAGGTGCAAAGTGGGGTGGGTCCTGACAATCCTAGTAGAGGCTCTATCCAGGCTGCCACAATACAGTAGTTCAAAGTCAGAAGTGATTAGGTCAGTCATCCCCTCCAGGCAACTGGTGGCCCCAGTTATCACCTGGGCACAAGCCAAAGCGAAAACCCAAATAGCCAATGATCTAAAAGGTGCCCTAAAAGCAGCCTTAGAGGAAGACAAATGGTTCCAAAAGCACAAGGGTGAATGTACAATGCAAGATGGCCTAGCTTGGGTGGGGGACAAACTGTACAACCAGCAGAGCCAATGGTTAATAATTCTACAAAAAAGCCATGATTCTGTCATGGCCCCGTCGGAGTTAGGGTCTGAGGAGGAGATGGAGCTGGGGCCGATGGAGGGAGATGGTGCTGCCTCTCTGGCCCAGGAGGAACAACTGGAGGAGGGGGACGAGGCAGTCCCGTGTCCCTCGGGTTGCCAGGGAGGAAGAGAGGGTGCAGGATGACCGAGCGAGGGGGGAGGAAATGGCAGGCAGTAGAGCAGAGGAGCTCCGGAGACAAGCAACTGTCTCCCCTGCCCGATCCCCAAGCACAGAGAATGGAGAGGAGGCGGAGTCAGTGCAGGGCGACCCGACTACTCGGAAGGAGGGCGCCCCACCCCTCTTCACAAGGCTCACCTGGGGAATAGGATTTAAAGAGGCGCCGTGGGGATGGGCTTTTGTTGAGAACAAGCATTGCATTTTTCTAGCCACACTTGCTGTTACTGACATCTTGCTACCTTGCTTTGCTTTGCCTAAGTTGCATTAACAGAGGGATTCAATCAAGATCACGTGAGGTACTAATACCACTCTATAAAGCCTTAGTAAGACCACACCTAGAATACTGCAACCAATTTTGGTCCCCACACTTTAAAAAAGATGTTGAGACTCTAGAAAAAATGCAGAGAAGAGCAACAAAGATGATTAGGGGACTGGAGGCTAAAACATATGAAGAACAGTTACAGGAACTGGGCATGGCTAGTCTAGTGAAGAGAAGGACCAGTGGAGACATGATAGCAGTGTTCCAATATTTGAGGGGCTGTCACAAAGAGGAGGGGGTCAACCTATTTTCGAAAGCACCTGAAGGCCAGACAAGGAATAACGGATGGAAACTGATCAAGGAGAGATTCAACCTGGAAATGAGAAATTTCCTGACAATGAGAACAATCAACCAATGGAACAGACCGCCTTCAGATGTTGGTGCTTCAGCACTGGAGGCTTTCAAGAAGAGACTGGACTGCCATCTGTCAGAAATCGTGTAGGGACTCCTTCTTGGGCAGGGGCTGGTCTAGATCAGTGGTTCTTAACCTGGGTGATATCGTCCCCCAGGGGGCGATTTTGTTTTTCAGGGGGGCGATGGAACGAAAAGGGGCGACGCGGGGGCGAAGGAATGAAAAGGGGGCAATATGGGGACACTTTTGAGACTTTTTCGTACAGTGTATCGCTGTATATCTCTCGTACAAAAACATCAGATCGCTCGTTAATAGTGGATTGAATTGTGTTTTCAAATGTTCCTCCAGCTAGCTTCAGTACAGAACGCCGTACATATGTGAATACGCATCACTTATCTTCATGTGCGTTGCGCAGCAGCCTCTACCCATACAGTGACGTGCCATTGGCCAGAATGGGCAGTGATGGAGGGGGGAGTGCTTCTTTCGAAACATTGCATGCTGAGTGGCTGTCCCCTGTGACGTCAGCTGTAATGTCAACTTAACTGTTGAAACTAGGTTTATCGACATCCACGTGTGTTTTTCTAGTGTTCCAGTGCAGTTGACTGGACAGCCATTTGTCCGAAATGGTATAGGGTTTCCTGCCTGAGCAGGGGGTTGGACTAGATGACCTCCAAGGTCCCTTCCAACTTTATCATTATTATTATTATTATTATTATTATTATTATTATTATTGAGAGGTTATATTGGGGGAGGGGGGGCGATGACAACTTCCTCATTGGCTCAAGGGGTCGATTCGTTCAAAAAGGTTAAGAACCACTGGTCTAGATGACCTGCAAGGTCCCTTCCAACTCTGTTATTCTATTCTATTCTATTCTATTCTATTCTATTCTATTCTATTCTATTCTATTCTATTCTATTCTATTCTATTCTATTCAGAACTGTACGTACATGTTCTGTGTGCTGAGATTCATCCTCAGAGTAAATCAAAATGTCACCAGATAAAGAACTACAAATGTATCAGTGAGATCAGGAAAAACGTGGTTCATAAATCTGTAAAATACTGCCCTCGCGTTTACTAACCCGAAGGGAACCACAGTGTATTCAATTTGCTGTATCTGATGTTGAAGGCAGTTAAGTATTCGTGCCCCTCTTTGATTCTAATGAGGTTGTAAGAATTGCCGCAGTCTAGTCTCATAAAAATGTGTGCTTTTTGACGTTTGTCCAAGATGTCTGGAATTAATGGCATTGGGTAATGGTCTCTCACCATCACTAAGTTGAGGGCCTGGTGATTGTGGACAATTCTCGTGGGGGTCCCCACTTTCACTAGGTCTGCTGTAGTCTTGCTTTTTGGGCATAAAAAAGGTGGGAGCCCTAGATGTTGATTGGGATGGTCGTATGCATCCCTTTTCCAAATTAGAGTCCGAAGTAGAGTTTCAGGGTCACTGACATCCTTAGCTGACATTTGGTACTGCCTCTTGGCAGGAATTTTGGACCCAAGAACCAGGTCTATGGCACACTTGCAGTCTCTTTGTGGGGGAAGGACAGATGCTTCTTCCTCCCCAAAGACATCTGCAGTCAGTGTACTTGCTATGGAGATTGGGAATCTCCCTGCTAGTCTTCAGTGGTGGCTGAAGGGGCATTTTGTGCAGCTGATTGCAATGAGAGAGGCAAGCAGGGTCATTAAAAGAAAGAGACCATTGCTTCCACTTAATCGTGGGTTCGTGAAGTAGCAACCAATTGGCTCCGAATACTATGGGAAGGTCCAGATGGCTAGTCATGAAAAAGGTTAATGTCTCTATGGTTAATTGCAACAGTACGGTGGAACATATAATAGGACCCACTTTCAAAAGGCGGCCATCACTAGTTTTTACTTGCAAAGGGAACTTCAGAGGGACTATTGGAATCCTGATCTCCTTCACCGTTGCTAGGTATAAACCTAACTATAAGTTAGCTGTTGCTGCTGAATCTATCAGAGCAGGTAGGGTTTCTTCACAACTAGAGGGGAGGAATAGAATGGAATCAATGCATAACAATGTAACTTGGCATGGTTGTATGTGAACCCCTTTCAATACTAGGTGAGCCCCTCCTGTGAGCTTTTGCAGGAGGGCCTGTCGCCATTTCCTTGGTCCTGGGGTTTGTGATCTGGGCAGTTGGCAGTGGAGGAGCTGCTAGGACATTTGTCTCCTCTCTTGGGTGGTTTTGAAGGGCAGTCCTTGACCACATGTCCAGGTTATCCACAGTAGAAACAGAGAGCTAACTCCCTGCGTCTCTGCCGTTCTTCCATGGTGGGGGCTTGTCTGGCTGTCCCAGTTTGCATCAGTTCTTCCCCGTCTTGATCAGGAGCAGTTGCGGTGTGTGGAATAGAGACAGGAGAAGGTAGCCCAGGAAGTAGCAGTTGGCGATGGTTAGAGTGAGCTTGGATTTCTGCGAAACGGGATTCAATTGTTATGCAGGCTATTTAGATTTCATCCGGTGTATAGGGGGCTCCTTGCCTGTTGGGTTTGTTCGCAGTCTTATAGTTCAGGCCACATCTGAATTGTGCAATCAGGGATGAATGAATGAATACTTCGCATTGAGCAAGAAACATTTTCATTTTGGTTGAGTCTCCTGTAAATCTCTTTGGTAAACAGCCAGGAGTGTGGTGGAAGAGGCAATTGTTGAGCTAAAATTTGCAGCTGCTGGACCATCTAATGCATATTATCTGTTAAATTCTGCCCTTCAGTTTCCAAACCATCTTGGTGTCTGCGGATGGTGTCCATCTCTGAGTTGTCTGCCAGCTGATGGGAGGGTGAGGAGATGCGCTGACTGAAGAAGGGAGATCCATTGAGGCCTTGCTTAAGGACTCTCACAAGGATAAAGATTACACAGAAGATGGTGATAAAGACTCTTAGAACAATAGTCTGAGGTGCTGTAAAGTTGCATACTGCAAGGATAAGAACATAAGTTGTACCCTTCTGGATCAGACCTGAAGCTCATCTAGTCCAGCAGTCTGTTTGGACAGTGGTCAGCCACAAGGAAGCCCACTAGTCTCCCAGTAGATGCCCTTCAGGGGCAGTCACATTGTCATCAAAGCTAATAGCCATTTATTCCCATGACTGCCATAAATTGGTCCAACCAAGCTGGTAGCCAGCACTACATCTCATGGTAGTGACTTCTAAAGTTTAATTGCAGGTTGTGTAAAAAAAAAAATCCTTTTGTTGGTCTTGATTCCTCCAAGATTCAATATCATTGGGTGAAGTAGGATCTCAGATTCTTGTCTGATTGGAGCATCAAAGAGAAAAAAAATGAAAAATCAGGATGCTGAAAAGACATAAGAGGTCATATAGTTACTATGGCCTCCTCATCTCCATATTTGCAATGCCCAGGGGCCCATATGATCACTCTATATACTAAATACAAACTTTATTGATATATCCTGGAATTAATATTTGCTTTAAATACAACTCTGTTTTTCATCCAGAGATTGTTTCACTTGAGATAAGGTTGCTGGAAGCGGAAACAGATTTTTGTAGGATAGCTTTGATAACAAGGTGTAATATATCCAAAAAGCACAACAGCTTGTGGTAAACTCAGTAGAGTTGTGACAGTATTAACGGAAATAGCATTCTCCTTTTACCTGTGATTATATGCCTGCAGAATCCAGCCATTCCAATGCAGAAGCTACAAGACATTCAAAGAGCTATGGAGTTGCTCTCAGCCTGTCAGGGCCCAGCAAAGAATATTGATGAAGCAACCAAACGTAAATACCAGTTTTGGGACACACAGCCTGTACCCAAGCTTAGTAAGTTTATTGACTACATTTAAAAAGTACTGACTCCTTGTTTACTGGGGGGAGATAGGGTTGTATTTTTAAAAATGTACAGTTTACAGATCACAAAATATTCACCTCAGAGGCACAGATGAAACCATTCAGTACTCAAAACAGGTTTTACCACTTCTGTTGTTAAAGTGTTCAGTTTTGGCGATAGTTCTGGTCTTTTTAAAGTCAATTTTATGTCCTGTGGCTTTAAGGTGTTGGACCAGGGAAGAAGTTGGTTCCTCTTTTCTGACTGAGTTCTTGTGTTCCTCAATGCATGCATTTATTCTTCTGTTGGTTTGTCCGATGTATGTGGTGGGGCAGGCGGTGCATGGGATTTCATATACTCCTTGATTTTCTAACTCAATTTTGTCTTTGGGGTTTCTTAGGATGGTGGATATTTTTCAGTTTGTGCAGAATGCTGTCTTGATGTGTTTGTGGAGGATCTTGCTGATTCTGTCTGTGGTGCCTTTTATGTATGGGAGGAGGGCTTTGCCGTTTTCTTGTTCTCTGTCTTGGATTTTGGTGGGGGTTTCTTTTTGCGTGGATGTGTGGACAAACCGCTATCTGCACGCACTCTCACACCACCACCCAGCACAGATCAACTCCGTAGCCAAGACACTCATCTCCAGAACAAAACGCTTAGCTGACGAACAACACCTAAAAACTCTTTCCTGTTCCTCTTTTTTATATATACAGTATCACTCATCCCCTCGAGTATCACTCATCCCCCTACACACGAATGTTACGAACGCCATTCACACGAAGGTAGAAGGGGGAATGGAAGATGTAGAGCGAACAGCAGCGCCTCACTCACAATCCAGCAGAGCGATAGGAGCAGATTGGAGTCTGAGCGAAACGCATGGTGGAGGAGGGGGAGGAAAGAGAAGAACGAATGTACAGCGTATGAGAGCTCTAAAGGAAGAGGAGGAGACGACGCTAACAGAATCAGACTCGAAATCACCAACATCCTCTGCACCAGCAAGCCACCCAAAAGCAACTTACCCAAAGAGGAACAGACAGCACTACTTAACCTGAAAGAAGACACCAGCATAATAATCCTACCAGCAGACAAGGGCAACGCCACGGTGGTTATGAACACATCTGACTACCAAACCAAATTAACCAACC